TCGAACATCAATTTTTACTTACCAAAAAAAAAAAAAAAGAAAAAAGAAAATAGTTAAAAAAAAGAGATAAGTTGATAAGTTAATAAGAAGATAAGAAGAAAAGATCAGTTTATTAAGAGTAGATAACTTTTATAGTTTTTATTTGTATCTATTATTTTTTATCTTATTTTAAATATTACACTTTTTTTTTATTTATATTACTACAATTTATTATTAGATTACTTATTTTGATATATTATATTAAATATTTATTTTTATTACTATTATTATATTTTTAATTTATATTTCTCTTAACTTTGATTAGTTTTTTTACTCTTTTAGTTTGATTTTATAACTTTTTTTCAATATTTTTGTTTTTGTTATAGTTTATTGTTTGTTTGGCTTTTGCTATTGTTTAACTACCATTATTATTATTATTATTATTATTATTATTATTATTATTATTATTATTACTATTATTATTATTATTTATAATTGTTAGTTTTTCCATATTTTAATTAGTTGTTGTATTTTTGTTTAGTATTTTCATGTTTAGTATTGTTGTATCTTGTGTTTCTTTGTTTATGTTGTCATGTATTTTTGTGCATTGATTATATTGTCTTGCGCGATGTTTATATTCTCATTTATTTTTATTATACTCTCATATGTGTCATTATTATGTCATATTCTTGTGTGTAAAAGTTTAGTTTCTTTTAAAATTATAAATTATTTTTTTACAATAAATGTTTGTATCGTGCGGTAGGCTGTTACATCTTGTCAGTATATACTGTTTGTAACTTCTCCTATCTGTACTTATATATTAAATTGTTGTTTGAAAATTAATACTGACTTTATTATTGTAATAATTGTCGCTTAGTTTATTAATTATTATTGCTATAATTATTGTTAATAATTGTTAATATTAATATTTACTGTTAATATTAATAATTATTATTGCTACAATTATTGTTAATATTATTGTCATTGCTATTGGTATTTAAATGCATTATTTTAATTTTTAAATATTTTAAATTAACGTTTAATAAACCATTTTAATTCTTATTTGTTTTATTTTTATAATTAATTTAATAATTAATTGTGTAATACACTTCTAAAAATATTACTTATAATTATAAAATATTGCCGTAGTGGTGTAGCGGTAAAACGCTCGCTTCATAAGCAAGAGGTTCCAAGTTTGATCCCCACCACGTCCTTGGTAGTACCAGGCTCAACTTGTTTCTCCGCGTAGTGGCCTTGTTTGTCAAGGTTCGTGCTTCGGAGTTATAGAATTGAGAGAGGGTTATAACCACTATTAAGTAGCCTCCTCATCTGTAGTGGCCTGTATAAGGCCTTCTCGGCCTTGAGGAGGTGAATAACAAAAAAAAAAAAAATTAAAAAAATATATATATATTACGGTTGTTATATTTGTTAAATCATTTTTTCTATAACTGTGTTTATGTGATTGCAAGGGCGATAACGTAACTGCTGGGCTGGTGTATATTCAGTTTTTGTTTTAGAGATAGGGTTTTACATTATTATATCAATAAAATTACAGCTGATTACATTATTACATTTTGTACCAAAAGTACAAAACGTAATAACTTAATCAACCGTAATTTTATACTTTGTTTGTAATCTTTGTTGTAAACTTTTTGTTTTTGGTTTTTCTTAGCAATTTTCAGTTCATATTTGTTATCTTTATTATTATTTTATTATTATACTTATTGTAATAATTAATTGGTGTCACTCATTTTGATCATGAGTGACACTCATGTCATCATATAATTTGTATTATTATAGATAATATTATTATTTTTTAATTATTACTGTTATAATTATTTGGTGTCACTCCTTTGATCAGACTTCTGTTTGAGTGACACCTTTCTTTTCAAATAATTATTTATATTTATTCTTATTAGTTATATTTTATTAAAATTATATTGTTTGTATTATTATAGATAATATTATTATTATATTTATTATATGATTATATAGGATCTCATTTCTGCTACAGCATGGGGCTCTTCTGCTACAGCATGGGGCACTTCTGCTACAGCATGGGGAAAAGGATCTCACTTCTGCTACAGCATGGGGATCACAGTGGCTGGTGAACTTTAATTCAGATAAAACTCAATTTTTTTTTGGCCAATCGTTATCGAAATAATTTAGACCTTCCTATATTTATGAATGGTAATGTACTCGATGAGACATCTACCCTTCATCTCCTAGGATTAACTCTTACTTCTGATCTTTCTTTGAAACCTTATATCAAATCCGTTGCAAAATTAGCATCTGCTAAAGTTGCATCTCTTTATCGAGCTTGACACTTTCTTACTCTGGATTCTATTCTCTATCTCTAAATCTCAAACCCGACCTTGTATGGAATACTGTTGTCATATCTGGGACGAATCTTTTAATGATGCCCTTTCTCTTTTAGACAAGGTGCAAAAGTGCATTGTAAACATAGTTGGACCTGCTCTTGCAGTCAACCTTCAACCTTTGTCACATTGTCATAATGTTGCTTCTCTTTCTCTTTTCTACAAATACTATAATGGACACTGCTCTAAAGAGCTAGCGTCTCTTGAGCCATCTACTAAAATTCATTTTCGTGTTACTCGTCATTCAATTAAGTCTCATACTTTGTCTGTTTCTGTTCCTAAGTGCTCCAAAAACTCTTATTCGTCTAGTTTTTTTTCCTTAAACATCAGGTCTTTGGAATTCGCTTCCTTCATCTTGCTTTCCTGATTCATATAATTTGCAATCTTTTAAGTCTCTGTCAATCGTTATCTTGCTCTACAATCTTCATCTTTTCTCTTCCAGTAACTTCCAACACTAATTAGTGGTTGCTTGCAGCCTTGTTCGAAGCGAAGATGTTTAAAAAAAAAAAAATATGTAAATTTTGAAAAGGAATATATATATCTTGTTGTTGTTGCTATAATTATTTTTAAATGTATATTTAATAATTTTCAGAATTACATTTATAGATGTGTTAGTTAAGATCATTTATGTTAAAGTATATATGTATATATATGTATATATATATATATATATATATATATATATATATATATATATATATATATATATATATATATATATATATATATATATATATATATATATATATATATATATATATCAGGCTTGGACAGGAATGGCGTACGATCGCACTCTGTAACTGACCACACTAATATTGCTTTTTCTTTACAATTTGACCACGGCAATTTTGATGTTTTATTAATTTAAATGCAATGAAAAAAAGTGTTACGTTATGAATAACTTTTAATCTTTGATTTTTTCTAAAGTTTTTATTTTACGCGAGGCTTTAAATAAAACAATAAAATTAATTATAATGATTGTTTACATAAACGCATGTGTTAATTAGTAAAAAATATTATACAAAAAACTTGATATTAATAAAAAATATTAACAAAAATCTTTAAAACAAAAATTATATTTTTTGAAAGTTTTTTTTTTATTACAATAGAAATGAATGAATGAGTTTAAACTTTTTATAATAACTTTTAATTTCGTTATGTGAAGTGCTTATTAATAAAGTTGTAATGCTCAAATTAAATCAATTATATTTTTCTTTTAGTTCTTATATAATTTCTTTTTCAAAATAAATTTTTTTTCTTTTCTTTTTTTTCAATAGTTTTTTTTTAAACTTTTTTTTCTAGTTTAAGTTTAGCTTAGCGTTCCTACATTCAACGCATTTCTGAAATATTTAAATCATCAAAACATATAAACAATCGCGGTCAAGTTGTCAAAAAATAAAACCATTTGCGTGGATAACAATAGCGCTCGATCACACGCCATTCCTGTCCAAGCCTGTATATGTATATATATATATATATATAATATATATATATATATATATATATATATATATATATATATATACACACACACACACACACACCAGTAATAAAAGTAAATTTTCAGTAGACAGTGCTCAATACAAAAGTACAGCAAATATATATTATAATAATAACTAAGTGCAATTTAATGTGTAACATTACTCAGAGTTTCACACTTCATGCAATCATCAGATGTTACAAACAACCTTAACAACAACAAAAATTATATACAGAAATGCAATAAAGTGTTAGCTTAGATGACATTAAAGTTGCAGATAACAAAATTGTTTTCGTGGCGACATTCCAATATTAATTCATCTCGTTTATTCAATAGTTTCAAAGATAAGGTAATGATAAGATATTTTTCTGTTAAACAAAGGTTACATGACTATCTTTTAGGTTTAAAAGGTTCCACCCTATCAATAATTTTCCATGTAAGAATAGGATGTGAAAATTCCTTTTTTTATATATCCCAGATATATTTAGAAAGTTATGTGGCATTAGCTTTACTTTCATATTGAAAGAAGTTTTTATGTTTATACCAGCAATCTTTAAAGTTGTGCTCTGTTAAACCAATATAATTTAAACCACTATCTTGCAGTGATGTTTTTTTCATTGCAGACATAAATTATAATTTTAATAAGACACATACCTTGCAAAGAACATTGTGAAGGTTGCCTGCAGTTACACGTTGGAACAATTTTGTTGGAAACATTAGATAATATTTTTTTATTGTATGAATTAATAATATTGGTAATGTTTAGACAGATATAACTAACTTTTAAATTATTCCTATTAAAAATTTTGAAAAACTAATGCGTTTTCGGAAAATGCTTTTCAATTAGATTTAGAAAATTTTTTGCGACATTGGTTTTTACATTGTGCAAAAACAGAGGACTATTTACCCTACTTACTAAAAGTAACTTACTAAAAATTAATTTATTCCTAAACAAAACTAAATTGTTTAAGCAACCCTGACTGTTGAAGATAAATCAACCTTACTTGTCATGATGACATAATTCATCGTAACAGTGAATACTGGAAAAAAATTGAAAAATCACAAAAACCATAGAAAACCAGTTTTCATGACCAGAAAAAAAAAATGTCTTAATGTAAAGAATAAAAAATAAAATTTTTTTTAAATATCTAAATAAAACATACCAATTCAATGCTAACAAGTGAATTTAGAATTAAATTTTCACATATTTCACGAGAAGGAGAAATATTATGCAAACGAAGAAACAAGTCCACAGCAGTCTGATGCCAATGGCAAGTTTCAGGATTAATACGATTCCAAAGACTTTCAGCAATAACCTTTAAAAAAATTCAGAAAATAATTTGGATGCATTAAATAATTTTTCATATTTTGACTTACATGTAATGATGCAAAAATACAAAAACACAATTTTTAATACACTGGCTTGTAAAATGGTTTTGTTTTTTTAACCAACAAGTTAAATAGTACCACAAATGAAGTCACAAGTAAAAATCATTATACTTTTTTTATTCTACTTTTGTAAACGTTGCTTGTTTTTGGTACTATTTGACTTATTTTTAAAAAAACAGTTTGTAAGTTAAAGTATCAAAAATGCATTGTTCATCCTTAATAAATGAACATCTTTTTTCATCCAAAATCTTTTTTTTTTTTTGCTAAAATAAATGACATACATTGTATAAATTTGTACATTCAAGCCATGCCAAGTTGTTGAAAGAAATAAGAGGCACAATGTTACTAGTAATTTCTGGAGTTTTTCCAGTAGGTTGAACACTCTGAGTAACATTAACAAGATCAAGCAAAGCATTTATTGCTGATGACTGAACATCAAATGAACTTCCATTGCAACAGCAAGAAATCAAAACTTGCAACCAATCAGGGATTTCGTTTTCTTTTCCTAAAGCACTCAAAATTGAAATCAAAATAAATACTTTTATTCTAAGTACTAAAATAAGTAGTATTAAAATAAAGAAGCATTAAAAGTATATTAAAAAAAAACTAACAAAAATATTCACTTAAAGACTGTTCACTTAAAGACAAAATAAAATAAAAAAGGTGTTTTACCTGCAGTACTCTGTTCACTTAAAGGCAGTGGAAAACAAGCTAATTGTACCAAATAACGACAAAATGTCTGAAACGTTTTAACTGCTGTTTGATTGAAATCTGGATTAACAACTGAACTCTTTTCATTACTAATGGCATCAAACTTAAACATTGAATGGTCTTGAAATAACACTCTCATTTTCTTTTCTCTTTTTATTAACTTCCCTTCTACAAATTTTGAAAATAGAAGTTTAGATAATGAAAAACAATCTGTATACAATGTGCTTTTTTGATAGGTTAAAACAACTTTGATATCATGCAAAGGGCTAATTGTTCCAGGAGATTTTTGCATATTTATGGTAGCAAGATCTACAGTATCCATAGTTTTATCTGGTAAGTTTGGAGAAAGTCGCGATAATAGTTTTGATATTAAACAGATTCCTTGATAAAGAGTAGTCAGTTCTAGAAGATCAATGTTATTTATTGTTTCAGATATAATTAATTTTAAAAGATTAGGCCAATGTTCAGTTTGCACTTCAGTAGCTGATTCCTAAAATTACAGAAGAAAAAAAAAACTAATTAGAAACCCTAATATTCACATGAAACCATGTTAAGTATTATTGAACACAAAGAAGAAATCATGGCAAACACCTGATTGGAGAATTAGAGTAGAGTGCTCGAATCTGTTGTTGTTTGAGAAAACAAAAAAAAGTTATGGGATTGTTAAAATTTTTTTAAACATCTTCACTTCCAAAAATGCTGCAAGAAACCACTATCAGAGTTGAAAGTTACTGGAAAAGAAAAGATGAAGTTTATGAACGATTAAGAGATGACTTTAAAGATCGCAAATTATATGAATCAGGGAAATAAGATAAGAACAAGGGAGTGAATTCTAAAGAACAGATGCTTGAGGAAAAAAACTAGATAAATAAGAATTTTTGGAGCACTTAGAAACAAACACAGTAAAAGGATCAGACTTAATTGAGTTAATTTTAGTAGATGGCACAAGAGACACTAACTATTTAGAGCAGCGCCCATTATACCATTTTTTCCATACAAGGATAGATTAGAAATTTATAGAGATAAAGAATAAAATAAGGAGTAAGAAAGTAGCAAGTACAATAAACAGATGTAACCTTAGCAGGTGCTTATTTTGCAATTAATTTGATATATGGTTTCCAAGAAAGATCGAAAGTAAGACTTAATCTTAGAAGAGCAAGAGTAGATGTCTCATCGAGCATATTACCTTTCATAAATATATAGATCTTGATTGTTGCAATAACAATTTGCTGAGTTTTATCTGAGTTAAAGTTTACCAGCCACTGAGAGCCCCATGCTGTAGCAGAAGATTCTTTTAAAGCTCAAATGCCCCCTCCAAGCAATCAGAAAGTGTTCGCTTTTTATCAAAACAAGAATATATGGTAGTATCATCAGCAAACGATGCCACCTTAGATGTGAGAATTTCTGGGAGATTGTTAATATAAATTTAAAAAAGTATAGGGCTAGAAGTTACAAAATATATAAAAGCGCGGTCCATCGAGAACAACTTTTATACTACGACTGGTAAAAAAGGATTTAATAATCTTAAAGATGTTACTTGATACACCTTAAGAATTGAGCTTATGGAGAAGACCAACATGCTTAAAAACCTTGCTTATGATAGTAAGAAGACTAACAGGACAGTAGTTAAACAAGGCAGAATGTTATCCAGTATTGAAAATAGGGATACAGCTACTGCTTTCCAGCAGACTGAAAAACAAGACTCTGATAAGTACTTGTTAAATAGTTTTGAAAGTATAGACAACAGCATCAGAACACTTCCTTTTCTTTACACTGTAATTGGTATGTTGTCTAGACCACAAGCTGTTAAATAGTCTTAGCAGAAAATCACTTAAGATACAGGATTCGGAGTGATACAAATGTCAAGCAATTGATCAAAAATAGGTTTGTCGGCTATATCAGGTAGGATGTGATTAGTGAAATAAAGAGATGAGATTGATGAAAAGTTCTTAAAAAACAGTTCAGCTGTGTCTTCAAGTGAGGTAAAAAAATCTGAACCATGCAAGAGAGGCGAAATATAAGTTTTGCCCTTGTTCTTCAAGTTGTTAGAGATTCTCCAGAAGTATCTGGAGCCTAATTTTTTAGATGAAATACGCAATTTTGTGACCTGAGAATAGCAGGTCTTGAAATTAGACAAAACCTTTTTACAATGGTTTCTAGCAATAGTAAACAGACATCTGTTTTCTGGAGAATTGTTTTGCTGATAGATTGGTTACAATTAGAAATTGCAGCAGCACAATGGGAATAAAATCATGGAAATGAGTGAGGCTTGACATAGAAATGTCAGAGGGAATAAAAGATTCCATGCCAGCCTTAATCCAAGAAGTTACATAAGAAGCACATTTGTTAGCAGAAAGACAAAAGATTTCTACCCAGGGGCCATCATAAAGTAAATCATGGAAAGAATCCCAGTCAGCTTTAAAGCAGTTGTAAGAGGTACAATGATAAGGAAAATCTGATGATGAAGAAGAATGAGATGATCAGAAGCGCCTAAGATTAATCAGAAGAACCCTGATCAGAAGCGCGTATTTGTGAATGTGGAGAAACTGAGCACTGACTCGGATCAGAAATAAGACATAAGTCAAGCAGAGAAGGTAAATGATTCAGATTGTCTAGAAAACAAGTTGGAAAGTTTGGAAAAACACTATTTGTGTTAGAGATTAAGAAAAGCCAAAAGTTGTGGGTCTTATTATTTGCAGAGTCACTGACACTAGAGCCAAGCCAGTGTGATGATCACCACCAACAACAATATTGGCTAAAGGATAAAGAGGCTTGGTTAATTTAATCAGAAATAACATTGAAGAGTGCAATCATGAAGAAGAACAATATAGAACGAAGAGAAAGGTGATAGAGTGAAGTGGTACTAAAAGAAGGCACATAAAACTGTCAATTCAAACCTAGTTCACATAAAGGAAATAAAGCTGTCAATTCAAACCTCCTGACAAATGGACAAATTCTTACAAATTTAAATGCTCAAACCAAGCATGTGACTTATGGAGTTTTTACGAATAAAGGAAGATAAACATCAACACTAAGATCACAAAATAAGACAGTTGAACTCAAATTAGTCTCACAAAGAGCAAGTAGGTCTGGTGAACCTTGCAAAAGATAAAACTCATAAGAAAACAAGTTACTTTGAAGGCCATGAATTTGAAGATCACCAGTTGGCCTCAGAACCATAAAACTGAGTTTTAGAGTTGTACCCTCATTAGGAGATACTAGAATGAGTTATGCCATAAAAACAGAGAAAATTGCAAAATCCATGCATTGAGTCAAGAAGATCCAGCATTCAACATCCTGAACTGGAAACAATGTTTCATAAAGACATCTACGCCAGCCTAATAAATTAAGAAGGGGTGCGAAACTAATCAACAGATAGAATCTGTTTATCCTTAAAGTCTTCGTCAAAAAGGCCTTTTACAAGACAAAAATCGGTTGGATTTAACATCTGTTCAAAATGAGTATTTTCATCGAAACAACATCTCTTGCCTTTACTCAACTAAGATCTTCAAGGCAGGGAGTGTGTTAAGTCAGAGTTGGCTTCTCCTGACCTTTGCCTAAAAAACGTATCCTATAAGTATATCCTACATGAAGTGGGTTGTAAATTTGAATAGAGCTTTTTATTCTTTGAAAAAAACTACATATTCAGCTTTATATGCATTATATGCTTTGTATACTAATTTTAGCATTTAACAATTTAATTAAAATTACCAAATATAATTTTCTATTGGTTTTTAATCATATTAAACAACTTTTATAATTATCTTTATAAACAACTACTATGTATATTTTGAATTTAAAAATTCTAAGATTTGTTGAATAAAACTGCTTCCTTTACAATCCATTTCTTACAACGTTTGCAGTTATGTAAGTAAGCATAATTGGCAAAAAATGATTATAGTAACTTATTGTATAGTGTAGTATGGCAAAAGTTATATATTTCAATTATACATATTGTTTACACTTTATGCCTACATAACCAGTTTAAAAGGCAGTTTTTTACTGTAGTTTTATTCAAACTATTTTAGACCAATAATTAAATAAACGCTAATCAAAATAAATAAAATTAAAAATAGAGAACAGTTCTTACCAGTAAAACTATATCTAAAAGATAGTCAGTCAAACTAAATATTTCTGAATGTGTTGGATCCTCTACTCTGACTAGTTGTTGTAACTCTGTTACAAAATTATCTTTGAAGTTTTCCTCTGTACTGGGTTTAGAACATCTCTTGAATATCTTTCCAATATAATCCCACATAAAAAATGGTTCAAAAGAGTTAAATAATAAATTAGAATTTTTAATAAGCTCAGCGTGCATCAACGATAACTCTTTATAACCATTTAACTTTTTATCTACAGAATCCTTTGTGACCTCAGAGTGTTTATATATTGCACGAAACACCTCTAACATGACTTCTTCCAATATTGAAGATCCAACTTCTGGTTTATCAAGTAATGTGATCAAAATTCGAAATGGCTTAAGTCGAAACTTACTAGAGGAGTCTCTAAAGTTAATACTTTCAGATCCATATTGAATTGAATCTTTAAATAACACTATTACAGCTGCTGTGAGAGGGAGCTTTGAATATAAGTTAAAATAAGAATCAGTAACCGATTTGTCTTCTTCCTCGTCTTCAACACTGACACTTTGATTAACCTCAGTTGTATTTTTAGAATCTGTGTTTAAAAACCATTGAAATATTCTTCGATTCAAAGACATATCTCTACGAAGAAGTACACCAAGCGCATAGGTTAAAAGTTTAACTATATGATATTTACAGAATGGAGAACTATTAAAAGAAATATAAGTTATTGCAAAATCTAGTGTTATTCTTTGTGTCAAAACATTTGTGTCATCAAAAGCAGCACATAACGCATTCACCTAAAATAAAAAATGTTTGCACACTACATTTACCAAGAACAAAAATTTTTTGTAAGCAAGTATACATTTAAATATAGTTCTGAACAAGTAAACAAAATTTCAATTTTAGCCTAGAAAAATTTATACAACTTTTACCATAAGATTAGTATCGTAGCCCATTATCTTCAAGCTATTCTTGTTTTGATTTTTGGCAACATGACTTATGACAAAGGTCATTGCTGCAAGCCGAGTTTGGGATGAGTGAAGCACACAATCCCATAAGCATGTGAAAAACATTTCTTCATCTACAAAACCACAAAGTGTAGATAAGATTTCAATTGTTCTAAGGTAAAAGTAAACAAAGAAAGAAGATAAAAAAAGCAACAAAAACAGCAAAAAAGTTAATATCTGTTATTATGTTACACATTTATGTATGCATGAGCATGAAACTGAGGTTAGTTAAAACTGAGGTTTTTTGAAACAATAGTTTGCAGTCTACATTTAAAAAGTTTAGTAAAATAAACAGATAAAAATTGAAAAATAGGTGGTAGCTAGTATTCCACACCATAAATTAATTATTAGCAACTCAAAAGAATGAAAAATGTAATGGAATATATTGACTTTTTTAATTTTAAGGTTTAGAAATTTAAAAATAAAAAATTATCCATACATTGTGAGAAATAAATTCAAGCAAGTAATGATAAGGTGGTTTAAAAAATAAATTTTCTTTTTTGTGAAAAAAGAAAAGATACTAGAAGTATCTGTTAAAAGTAACAAATAAATTATCTGGCAGAACTTAGGATACTGAGAGAAACAAGAAAAAAAACCAGATGCAAAGTTCAGAATTAAAACTATACAAAACTTTATAATTAATGAAAAAAATTTGAAAACAAAAAAAAAAAATTTTTTTAAAAAGACATCTTTTTGTGAAAAAAAGCATAGTCATAAGCTAGCAAGATCAAAAGTTATTCAAAAGCTGTTTCAAAAGTTAAAATAAAAATTACATTTAATATAAGTGCTATTAGCAAATAAAAAAAAAGCATTTTGACTGAGGAGATCAAAACATAACTTTAAACTATGTAAGTAAAAGTAAATAAATAAAGAAAAACAAAGTAAATAAAATAAATAAATTATACATCAGGCTTGGACAGAAATGAATCAAGTAACTCAAAAGAATAATCGTAAAAGATTATTCTTTAAGTTAATTTAAATTACGAATAAGTTAAATTAAATCTTCCTGTTGAAATGGAATAACTTAATTGCTTTATTTTTGTTTCTATTTTTACAAATAATTGTTCAAAATTTTTTTTTTTTAACTTGATTACCTATCAGAGCATGAAATGATTAAAAATTACTATTTTTAAATGACGTAAAAAGTAATTTTTTGAAAAATTTTCTTTTGTGCAACTTTTTGGAAAAAATAAATGTTTATACAATTTAAAAATAATATATGTAACACTTTTTAATAATTTTATTAAAATTTGTTTATTTAAAGCGTTTTGCATAACTTTAGTAAAACATTTTAAAATATAAGTTTTAAAGTAATTTCAAACGCAACTAAAAACGTAACAAAAAAGTAATTTATGAAGTTATGCGATCTACAAAATAAAAAAATGTCCTTCTTCCAATGTTTTAAAGCTGTAAGTGAGGAAAGCATTAGTTTTAATGTTCGAAGATGTTGTAGGTGGCAATAATTTTATCACTATTTTTTTATTCAACACCCTATTTCCAATTTCACAAGAATGAGGTAGTTTAAGTTTACTGGCATACTAAATTTTTTTTAACAACTTTTTCTTTGCAGAATTTTTACTAAAAAAAATACTCCTTGCATGCAGAAATTCTATCAATTTTACAACAATTCAACATTTTATTTTATCAATAAATGCATAGAATTGAACATAATTAAGAGTATTCTGTATTGTAATGTTTTTGTTTGTTCCTTCATTATCCCAAAATGCATAGCAACTCGTATCTATTTACACTAATAGCAAAAATAAACAAACAAAATTTTTTTAAATTTCAATTTTATTTAAAAATATTACTAAATATCATTTAATAATAAAATTTAACATAAAAAAATCAGCTTATTTTTACCGCGATTCTTTTTTTTTTTTTTTTTTACTAAAAATTAAAGTTTTTATTTTTGGAATAAGATATATCTTTTATTTGTTACCCACTTTTTAAAAATAAAAAATCATTAATAGTTGCAAAGCCACAATTTAAATTTAAGAAATAATACTTTGAAAATATTTAAACATATTTTAATTTATACGAAAATAGAGAAAAGAAAGTAATTAGTTTATATTAAGTATTAAAAAAAAATGAAAAACTTAATTTAGTTATTTATTATTAAAAAAAACAAACATTCCATAATATATTAACATAAAATAGTAAATTTTTCAATTGAATTCGTTTTGCAGTAATTAATTATATTGGGGTTGTTAAAAAGTTAGTTTATTAAAAAATAAATATAATAATAAAAAGAACTTCAAATAAGCTAATGTGTTTAGCATTCTTTATTTAAAACGAGGCCTGTATATACAAACAAACATGCATAAATGTATGTATATATAAATATAAGTGAATTTATTCTCTGTAAATAAAATAAATTTTGTTTATTTGGAATGATAAATGAAATGCTGAGATATTAGGGTAAAGTTTAATAAACACAGCATTCTTGCTGGCCATCTAGTGCAAATAAGTGTTAGGTTCTAATTATCAATATAATTGTTACCATCGACACACCTGTTACAACAACTAGACAGATGTATTATTTGACTAATAATGCATACACAAACACGAAATTTAAAAACTTTTAAATTAAGAGTCCTTTCTAAAAACTAACATTCCTGTTTCAAACTGTCAAAGTTAATCTAAAACAAAAACTGTAGAATATATAGAATATAGACTTACATTGTGAGAAATAATTTTTATTTAAAGATTATTTCTTATCTTCATTTTGCAAACTGGAAAGCATTTATACATAAATAAAAAATTTATTTGTAAAAAAAAAATTAATATATATATATACCGTGACGAAAACTCTGATGCTTCTTCAATTCCAGGAAATAAAGCCAATAAAAAACCTGACAAACCTGGATAAAGTAGTTTTTTTAAAGGTAAAAAATGATTCTCATATAGATCAAGCAACTGTGGCTTAACAGACATTGAGGCCTGGCTCAATAAAGGATACAATCCAGTTGTATATATAAAAAGATCTTGAGCTAATCCTGCCAATCCAATTTGAGAGAGAATCAAGTTGTATGTTTCAAGAGCTTTTAGATGTACACCACTTGGCAATGCTGGGTGAAGACACTGAGCAAGACGTTTACCAATAAGTAACTTTCTTGGCAAAACAGCATATTGACTATATAGTTGAATCACCTAAAATGAATATTAAAATATGAAATAACAAATTAAAAACAACAACAACAACAACAACAACAACAACAACAACAACAGTAAGAGTATAAATAACAAAATCAGTATAGTACCACACTTTATAAACAAGCATATATAAACAACTGCCGCTTAATATTTTCTAAATAACTGGTCCACAGTATTAATGCTCAATATGCTACTTTACTATATTTCAATGTATCAAAATGTTTCAAATTTTTAAATACCCTTTTTAAATAAGAGTGAAAATATGCATACTAAAAAGGAAATAAAAAATTGCTATATAAAATATATATAGATTACCTATAAAAACAGTTTTGCTTTTATATTAATTCAACAATTTAAATTACAAAAAGATTAATACAAAAATTACTACCTAAGAAAACATGTAATTAAAATTAAATTAAGTTAGTTAGAAACTAGCTAAATTGTTGGTATGTCAAACATGTAGTTGCGCTAATTAAATTTCTGTATGAGAAGTAGGTCTGCTATTTTTCTAATGGCTCTTACTTATTAAGTTTTTGTTCAAATTTTTTTTCAAAACTAACATATCTAATAAGTTTATATCTTTTTAACTAGTAATGGTGATGAAGTCATTTTATATAATTGTTTCTTATTTATAATTCTTGTCCTAATTTATTTAATAAAATTAGGACAGGAATTACAATATAATTAAATTTCTATTTGTAATAACATTATCATTCGTAATACCATACAAATTTCCATTTGTAATAAAATGGTAATACAAATGAAAATCTAATTTTATCCGTAATACCATTATATTATAGAATGTAACAAATGTTAACTTTTTTTTGGGTATGAGGAATGTGTTTTCTAAGTTTCCAGAAAATAGAGTGACCAAAAATAATCAGTTATGATATAAAAATTTTTACAATTGGCCCAGTCAATATTATTTGAGGTTTTATTAATTTTGCATTATATTGTACTTTACAGTTCATTTTATGATATGCCATAAATAAATATATATGTAAGTATTTTTTCACAACATTCTTCATAGAAGATTTTCATAGGAGCTGACTTGAACATATTATTTTGATTTGACAACATAGCCATGGTTATTTGGATGTTTGATAATTAGCGAGTTTTAAAATGCCCAGAAAAAAACCATACTATAGAAAAAATCAAAAAAAAATGCTGCAAACTTAAAAAAAAAAAAACAATAAAATAAAAAAAGATAAACCTGAAAAAATAAAACATAAAAATATTTTTTTTAACTCAAAAGCATTTCACTTAACATAGTCCGCAGGAAAAATAGAACTAGAACATGAAAAATGTTTAAATATATTAATTGTGAAATTAATTTTATATTTGCATAGCACACAAAATGCAACAAAGTTTAATGTAATAAGCTGACAGCCATGCCTCAATCATGACTGTCACCTTGTTATTGGGTTCAAATAAAGTAAAATTTTCCTATTTTTGATGTTTTACGAAAAATCAAAGTTTCGAAGATTTTAAGTAGTTCACTTTTTGGAAATAATTAAGTTTAGATTTAATTTAATAACTTTGATCTTTTATTAAGTAAAGAGCTTTTAAATTTGAAAAAGACATAAAACTGTTATTTTATATATATATATATATATATATATATATATATATATATATATATATATATATATATATATATATATATATATATATATATATATATATAGCATACTTTTTGAATTTTATCAAATATTTATTTTTTCTTTATTTAGAATTTATTTATTTTTTTCAGTTATTTTTTATTCTTTTTTTTTTTTGGTTTGGTTTAGTTTGGTTTTTGTTTTTTTTTGGTTTGGTTTAGTTTGGTTTTTTTCAACACACTTTTAAAATGTGCTAACTGTAAAAACATGCAAAAGGTTGTGACATAAATTGTCAAAACCAAAAACCTAGTTAACTCCAGTGAAGGCTTGTTTCAAATTTTCAAAAGATTTTTAGCATACAATTAATACTCTGGTGTACAAAATTTAAAACTGAAGACTTGACAGAGAAATAAATACAAACAAAAACTTGTTACAAACTAAAACAATATAGAAAATTTTTTAACCAACTCACTCAATCTGACAGCTGCAAGCAACCACTATTAGGTTGGGAGTTACTAGAAAACAAAAAATAGTGATGAAGAGTAAAAATTTGGTTGATAGAAGATTTAAAAAGTTGAAGGTTGTATGAGACAGGAGAACATTTATTTAAAGGATTTTCCTATTTAATATGAAGCGCATTTTTTATTTTTTATTTGCTTTTAGTAGAGACAATGTTTGAAAACTTAAACCAGTTGTAATTAGATAAGTTTTAACAGTTTACAGATAAATTTAAATTTTTATAAACATGAGATCTTAAAAACACTAGAAAAAAAAATTATTAATTTTTATGAAATAAATAACAATCTTTTAAAAAATAATTTAAAAAAATTTAAAAGGAAAAAAAAAAAAAGAAAAAAAAAAGAATTTCAAATTATTGAAAAAAATGTTTAGAGGTTTCTCCAAAATAACTGGGATTACAGCCAGCACAAGAAAACAGCTAGTCAAATTTAATGTTTACACAACATTAAATTTGACCAGCTTAGGATGTGAACATTTGTAATTTATTGGTTGTTTTGTAATTTTTTAGTTGTGAATATAAACTTAATTTCTGGTGTCAACTCACTGATTATTGCATGTAATATGTCAACTTCAAAAACAATGATAATTTGACTTATATTGCATGGTTAACTTCAGAATCATTGATAATACTACTTCATAGCAATTATTTGAAAGCAAATAATGATAGCCATACCAATTTTTAAGTAGGCTATATCTTTATATGTATATTTGTGATATTAATGTGACAACTTATAAAACACTTTTAACATGTTTGCTGCTGATCAATTTAAATTTAAATTTTGGTTTCATGTTGTTTTTATGTGATTTTCATTCAACTCTTTCATTTGTCCAGAGTGGAGTGGAGAAGTTCAAATCTAATATATTATCTATTTGCAAATTTAATATATTATCTATTTGTAAATCTATCTGATACAATATTTTCTGTTCATAAAAAAAATCTCTCTGCTGCCCCAAACCCATATATGGAATACAGACAGGTAGGAGATTCTTTTTTAAAAACTTCTATTTCATAAGAAAGCTGAAAACAACACATGCTAGAAAAAAATAGTATAGAAATCTAGAAAACATAATAATATAAAACATAATACAGTT